ACAGCCTGGATGTTGGGCAGCACGCCGCCCTGAGCGATGGTGACGCCTCCCAGCAGCTTGTTGAGCTCCTCGTCGTTGCGCACAGCCAGTTGAAGATGGCGGGGGATGATTCTGGTCTTCTTGTTGTCGCGGGCAGCGTTTCCGGCCAGCTCCAGGATCTCAGCGGTCAGGTACTCCAGCACCGCCGCCAGGTAGACGGGAGCCCCGGCACCGACACGCTCAGCGTAGTTACCCTTCCTCAGCAGCCTGTGGACACGGCCCACGGGGAACTGGAGGCCGGCACGAGAGGAGCGAGTCTTGGCCTTCGCCCTGGCCTTTCCTCCGGTCTTTCCACGTCCAGACATGTTTAAGATGAGTAAGTTATTGTTACCTGCAGTGAAATAGCAGAGTGAAAGACTGAGGCAGAGGCTCGATACTTATATCAGTCTTCTGCTCGCTGATTGGCTAGAAGGGACTGCAATGCTGTCGGCCAATCACAAACGTCAACGTCATGCCACTGCTTTGGAGAAAAAAGGAAAGCAACTTTCTTTGAACACGTCCTCGTATTAAATATAAAACATATCATTTTTAAACACAGAAAAGGATTCACATCATGATCGAATAAATATTAGATAAATGTAATCCAAAAGTCTAACACAATAACACCCAAATGAAAGATGCAATTTTCAACTTTTTGACAGGCATTTTAAACGTGTATAATGCCCCCCCAAATCTCTCAAATCTTTATGCTTCACAATCAATCTGATGCGTTTCATTAGAACATTTCAAACACATAAAACAACTTTAAGTCTGACCCACATTTTGACATGCTTGTGACTGAGGTTTTGTTTTGTTTTCTGTGTACCGTTTCATTGAGACGTTTAAAAAAGTACAGTTTGAAGGGAAGGGCTTTGTTCTGAATGAGGAAAAAACAGTTTGACAGCTATCAGTAACACCTCTTTTAGGAGAGGAGTTGGTGCGTTGTTAAAAAAGTTCAAAAATACTTTATTAAATAAATGAAATAAGACAGTGATCCAGTTGATCATCGAATTGATGAGGCTCGCCTCAAGACAGGATATGATCATTGTTTGTTGTTTTGATGCCTACAGGTGTCAACTTGTAATAAATGGAATTGAGGCCAACTCAGACTCTCTCTCTGACTTACACACTAACAAACAAGCATAAATGTACATGTTTATATCAGAAATAAACGGGGGAAAGGCTCTTTAGAGGAAGGTGGGTGGCTCTTAAAAGAGCCTTTGGAGTGAGAAGCGGGGTCCAAGTCGTCTACTTCTTGGCCGCTTTCTTGGCCGGAGCCTTCTTGGCCTTGGTGGCTTTGGGCTTGGCTGCCTTCTTGGCGGGCGCCGCTGGCTTCTTGGCGGCTTTCTTCGGGGTCGCCGCCTTCTTCACGGCCTTCTTGGGGCTCTTGGCTGCCTTCTTGGGGCTCTTGGCGGGCTTCTTGGCGGCCACGGGCTTCTTTGCCTTCTTCGGGGTGCTTTTGGCCGCTTTGGGCTTCTTGGCGGCGGCGGGCTTCTTCGCTGCTGCCGCTGCTTTGGGCTTCTTGGCTTTGACGGCGGCTTTCTTCGGGGCTGCCTTGGGCTTCTCGGCGGGCTTGGCGGCCTTGAAGGAGCCGGAGGCGCCGGTGCCTTTGGTCTGGACCAGGGAGCCCTGGACCACCAGGCTCTTGATGGCGCGACGGACCTGGGCGCTGTTGTGCTCCACGTCGTAGCCCTGACCGGCCAGAGCCTTCTTCAGAGCCACCAGCGAAATGCCCTTACGGTCCTTGGAGTCGGTCACGGCTTTCAGGACGAGCTCGCGGGCGCTGGGGCCGCTCTTCTTCTTGGCCTTGGTCGCCTTCTTCTTCGGGGCTTTGGCCGGGGCGGCGGGGGCTGCTGGGGCGACTTCTGCCATCGTCAAATCTCAGCGTTGCGTAGTCCGATTCAGACTGATCGCGATCTCCCAGCTAAATCAGGAACTTAAACACACCATGAGAACCGTGGAGACTCAACCCCGCCGGCTGCTCACAGCTCACGCAGCAGCACGCTCGCACTTGTGTTTTCTCCGCCACCAAAAACGAATAAAATAAGCACCCAACGACACTTTTTTCTCGCACAAATAAATCACAACCACACAGGACAAGTTTGTTTCCCGGAGGAATGCACAAACTCCCCAAAATATCCCACCACTTTCTTTGGGGAGCACGTAAAACGGACGTAACTGCCGCCAGGCGAGGCGGTGCTCCGTCACTTTTTCTTCGGATTTCTCTTATAAATGCTTTAAAATACACCGTAATCCCCCCAAATCGGGTTTGACACCGACATCACATGTTTGTTCACACGTCTGAGGCAGAAAACATGAGTTTTAGCCCATCGCTTTGCGTTAAAAAGAGTCTAATCGTGTGCCTGCAAACACACTGCCGGTGGTGGAGGCAGCCGGCTCCCGGACCTGTGCCTGCTCCCTACTCCACACATTTCACATCCTGTCACTCACTGGAAAACCACTTTTTGGTCGTGGCTGTGGTAGACACGAGACGTTTCACCGACATAAATCTGTTAGAGAAACTCTAATAACTCCGTTTCGAGAACAAAACAGATCAAAACCAGCCCCACTCCCTCAGCCCTCAACAGAAAGCATCACATGAATCAACCTTGACCAACAAATAATGCCCCAATTCACCTGTGAAGTAACATTCATGCAAAGACATGGCACACTGTCAGCTTTGTAAATTTACCTGGAATATTATTTCATTCTTCAGGAAATTGTGCTACAAACCACATGGGGGTTATGAGGTCATTGAATAAGTTTACATTCACAACCATGAAGTAGCAACTCAACTTTCATCAGATGGTCTTTTCAGATTTCACTTTCTGCTGGTACCATGATAAAATAATTAGTTCTCTAAATGTTTGTATTTTAACTTACTCATAAATATTTAATGGCTGTATTGACACCTGTTGCTAGATTTAATATCACAAAGCACAAAACGACCAATGTTAATCTTCATACAGGGAGCAACAAAGCTCAATAGACCAAAGTTATCATGACTGTTAGATAGATGATTTAATCATGGTGGTGTTGGTTTCTACTTTACTTTGAACTATGAATGAATAAAATACATAAAACAGGTATATGAAATCAGTCACTTGTAAATATCAAGACTTTAATTGCCTTCCAAATGTTTGTTATTATCCAAATTTAGCTGTAAACTTTTTTTTTCATGTAGATAATTTATCTATTTATTTTTTGTATTTACTTGTACACTAAAATATGGATTTGACTTTTTTAAAACATGTTTTAATGTGTAATTCTCCACATTCTCAAGTTCATTTAATGAGATTTGTTGTTGTTGACGTGTGTGCTCTTTAAGAACTTAAATCCAAACGTATCCTTCCCCATCAATTCAACAGAAATCCATAAAGTGGTTAGTGTACAACATGGCTTTCATATGAAGAATATTGAGTATATAGTGTATATATAGTAGAGACTGTCCTGGTTTTTCACTGGTTACTGTTTTGGGTGTTTTTAGCTGTAGGTTTGGCTGAATAGGAGAGTTCATCTGGGTGTTCAGCTTATCAGTTGTTATGCATCTTATCCAACTCTAATGATAAAGTAAAGGCCTGAACAGGTCATTGAAAAAGATCACATCAAGTAGCAGCCCGAACTTTCATCAGATGGTTGTTTTAGTTGTCAGTTTTGGCAGGTACGTACGATGATAAAATAGTTACTCTTTTAAACCTGATTTCATCACATTGTTCAATGTTTTGAAATTCTTATTATTTTGAATAGAAATATGTTCCAATCAAATTGTGATTGTGGGAGCCATCTTGCACTTTTACTTTGAGTAGTGGTAATTCTGTTGATTTGTTTGTTTATTATGAATTTGTTTACATTAGTGATAGTTTCATATTTTGGTAATATTATTTTTGTAATTCGTCTAGTTAATTGTTTTGCTTTATGTTTAGTCTTTATTTGGTAAATTTATTAATTGCAGTATTTGGTTTTAGACACCTGGGGGTAGTGGTGCGCACAGGTAAGGGTGGATATAGGTAAGAAGTGGCACACACCTTTATGCACCTGGGTAGTGGGCACATGGTTTTTTTTTACCAGCGCAAGAGATTTGTTTGCTCACCTGAAACCTCAATAAACCAGCCTCAAGGACAATTCTGCGTGGAACCTAAATAAATTTTATTGATTGCGTACGATACCTAGCCAGGGTGCCAGAAGTTGTCGTTTGGTTTGTTTTAAGTTTAATTTAATTTTCGTTAAATGTTTGTTTGACAAACGGCTACTACAGTGATTTTGATGGTGCCCTGTGAAAAGCTGTTCATGAGGAAAATGTTTAACTATTCAGTTTTGAACTAATCCCGATCTGTACACTTGATAACCCTCTACATTTCATCTAAACTCAAAATCAAAACAGATCCTAAAGCTTTGGTGTGATTACAACAAAATTCAGGGGACCAGTGGATGCAGCTAACCATCCAAACCTGAGTCTGCACTAAACAGCTTCCAGAGTTCCTCAAACTAATCCTTTAGAGAACTGTAGCCCCAATAACTGTTTTGGGACCATTTAGAATAAGCCTATCCACTTTAGTTATAAGGTTGGACCAAGATAACCAGCGACCTGTTTGACTCACTGGCAGTCAGACCACGAGGGGCACTCGAGCTTCAATAACTGATGGTTGTCACGTCTGTTCGATGGTGAAAATGAAATTGTCTGCCATAAAAAGTCCTATTGTACAGTGTCCTGTGAAAATCATCAGATTTTCCTGTTTCCTGGGACATATCAATTTTTTTTAGAAAACCATGAAAGTTCAATGCACTTATTATGGATATATTTGACCCAATATAATACCTGTGGATGTGGATAAAACTGGGCAGAGAATGTGACCGGCCTGAGTGCTGTTTCCAAAGAAAAGTGCAAAAGCGCCAGATTTAAACACACACAAACACACACACACACACAATAACTTTGGGTTAATTCCACTTGTCAAATATGTTACTTTCTATCACAAACATCAGGTAAAAAATAAACCACCACTCATGTAACTTTAAAAAAACATAGATGGGAAGAGGGAATTACAAGTACTCTCATGGAACTCTGGTTTGGTCATTTATGCTACACAGTGGTAAAAACGGGGGGTCCACTTAGCTTCTGGAGCACAATAATATTTGCCTGAGAACATCTTGATACTAGTCACTAATGCTGAGCCATCACTCTAAATATTACAGGCTAGTGAAGTTAACAATCCTGAGCTGTAGCTCGTGTTAGTAGCACATAACGAGGATGGGACTGTACTTGATAAAATAATATGTAGCCCTTTGGGGAGTTTTTTAGTTAAATACGTTGATTTTACTTGTGTTGTTTAACTTATTGGAGCTTACCACCTCGCAGTAGGAAATTATATTGCACCTGAACAACTGAGTTATTGCGCTGACGTGTTGAATTGATGCGGTCCTGTGGGCACTGTGACCTACATTAGCTGAACTAAATATTTTCTTGTGGCCTTCTTAGCGCACACACACCCCCATGGATAAATATCACTGGTTTAGTCTCCTATGTGGACATCAACACACCACAAACTCCACCAGATGCAAACATTACCACTCATTTTTTATTTGGGTGTCTTGTTATATTTTCTCCACTGGGGGGACCAGTCTGTCTGAGGGGCTCATTGGGTTTACAGTGCAGTATAATATGTTACAGGGAAATCTGATCCACTAGCCACATATTAAATGGAAGTATGTTTGCTCTTATCTTTTCTAACAGATGTTTGGTGCAAATATATCTGCTATGATGACAAAGGGATAACCAGGTTTGAAGAGCTTTCTTTTGTTTACCCCCAGCCTGGTGATATAGTGTTCTGATGACGCCCAGTCCAGTCAGCCTCAGTGACCTCTGAGCATTTCAACGTGCTTGACGTTAACCACCAAATATGTTCTCCTTGAAAGCCACTACTAAGAGAGACACAGAAGTCTAAAAGAGTGCTGTTAGATTTGGCCTTTTTCTCTCTTTACAGTTGTAATCCAATGAAGCCATGCATCTTTTTTGTTGACTTCAGAATTATTCTCTTGCACTAAACTCATGTAAACTCTCTGGTTGTACTCATTTAAACATAGTATTGGGACCTTTACTTTGAAAAGCAGGACATAGAACAGGGGTGGACAACTCTGGGCCTGAGGGCTGCTGTCCTGCATGTTTAAGAGTTTCCCTGCTGCTACACACCTGATGGATCTCTTCTAAAGATTGTTAAGCTCTGCAGTGACGGCTGATTTTGTGTTGATGTGGCTAAACCTGCAGGACAGTGGACCTCGTGTTGCCCTCCCCAGACCTAGAAAAACTCACAAGTTCCTCCCAAATCTCTGTTCCGTCTTCAAGGAAAACACTTTTTTCCCATCACATTTCATCTGTATGAGCATAATCTAGCTTGTTCAAGTTAGAGGTAAATGGCCAGTGGGATTCAATAGGTTAAGGCCAGCTTTTTTTCTATTGGGTGCCCAGCCTGAAAATATTTCTATAGCTCACAACTGGAAATCAAGGCCCTTTCTGATTGAAATCCTCAGGGAGCTCTGTCACAGTTGTCAGCCTGATGCTTTTGTTGGAAGCCTGAGAGTAAACCAGCGATATGATTAGAGTACAAATGTGTAATTTATTTAGGTCAAAGGACAGTTATTAAGTGCCGGGCTTTAATTGACAAAGTTCCCTGAGGATCTCAGTAAGAAAGAGCCTTCATTTCCTGTTGTGATGCACAGTCACCCTACTAGATCCTCTAGTAAAAAAGGCTGGACATAATAGTAGTTGCCACTACTATATCACTCCATCACCCGGTCACACTATCAGGAATTCTGTGTAAAAGAAAATATTCAAGGTGTGGTTTACACCATTCAGAAATTAAAATAAGGACAGTTCA